TGTATAAACTGATATAACTATATAAACTGTATAACTATATAAACTGTATAACTGTATAACTATATAAACTGTATAACTATATAAACTGTATAACTATATAAACTGTATAACTATATAAACTGTATAACTGTATAACTATATAAACTGTATAACTATATAAACTGTATAACTATATAAACTGTATAACTATATAAACTGTATAACTGTATAACTATATAAACTGTATAACTATATAAACTGTATAACTATATAAACTGTATAACTGTATAACCAGAATATGAGAAATGCCACTGGAAGTTAAACTGGGACTCAGCTATTAAACAAATATAAAATTATGTCATTAAAAATTACAGCTACTTACTTTCTGGCGAGTATTTGTTGTTAAATTTCTGTACAATATCTTGTCTCTGATTGGTCGGTGTGGAACCATCAAGTCGGACGAATTTATAATTTTCTCCACGACAAAATTTCTCTAGTATATTTAACGTCTAGATATATAAATATAAATATATATTGTATTCAAATTACTTTTTGACAAATGACATCCAAATATGGCAATGCATGAAAAAGGTAGCCTCTATCACTCAGTCCTTCTTGGTCTAATTTGTTTTGGTTGTAAACTAGTCGTTTGAAACTTGAAGGTCCAATATGCTTAATTGTAGTTATCTCCCTTGATGGAATTTGAAAGCGTTGCAACAGAAATTTCAATGAAGACTCCCAGGCTATATCCTCGTCATAGACAGGTAAAGACTGGGCGTCAGAGACAATGAACCATCCTTTTTAATGTTTCTCCAAGATGTATGTGAATTGGATCAACCCCCCAATTGCTCTAAAAGTGTTTTTTTTCAAGGATTCTCAAGATTTCTGTTTGCATAATTTCTATTTTACTTGACATCAATGTGATTCTTGTTATTATAGAAACAGTGACTGTTGTAATAGCCTGTTAATGATATCTATGGGCCTTTGTTATAGTGATTCTTAGTTTTAGTGGAATTACAAGAATCACAGACATCTGACTGAAAATTGGAATGGTGCAAATTGACACCAATACACATAAAAACTCCAGGATATTATCTTACCTTAGTGTGATTTGAAACTAGAACTATTTTTTCTCGACTAGCAGGATGATGAACCGCAGTTAATATGGCCGACAATACCATTAACTTCCCAGAATGCTCAGCTACCAGTTGTTGATCATCGTAATCTGATGGATACAAGGGGGACAATCCAGAATATACAGACTCCTACAATATAGAATAAATTAAATTTATGTTTTATTTTTGGCACTGATTGGGATTAGAGAGAATGGAAACGCTATGCAGTTTGTAGTTTGTTATGAGAAAAATTGAAGGAGCAT